TTCCTGCTGTTACATGACATATTTTATTTCTTAAATGCATAGCTCTTCTTTATAAGGAAAATGGAAAGTGGTGCTAACAACTTCTCCAGAGCTGCAAGGTGAATACAGAATGACATGAGATCTCAGCACTGTCTTTCCTATAGGAAAAGACGCATTTCATCACAATCATTACCACTCAATAAATATAAAAACTTTAGTGTCTTTATTATTTTGCATTTTAGATACTTCGACTTGACCAGAGAAAATTTCTTCTAAGATCTGTACAATCAAATGTCAAGATTGTTTTGCTTTCCTCAGAAATATTAAAAACTTAATAAGCATTAGAAACTACATGTTAGAGGATGTTCTACTGATTACACAACTCAAATTAAAAGAAAGTTATTACTTATACCATTTTTATTTAACTTTAGATACAGTAAAGTAGTAAATCTCTGGTAACTTCAACATCTGAACACAGAACCCACTTTAAAACTCTGTTTAGCAATAACAATTTCTTCTCTGAATAAAGTGACATGGCTAAAAACTGTGGTATTCTAAAATCAGCTCTCAGTGTAACTGCTAGACAGACTTCACGGTACATATGTGAATAACTTAATTCCCCCCCCACCCCCACCAAAAATTCCCTTGCCAAAAGAAGTAAGAAATCAGAGGCAGTGGAGTAGGCAGGAAAAACACAGGACTAACAGGCTTGGATGCTACCCCCAGTGCTGTGTAACCCTTCTCTGAGTCTCAATTTTCTCAATTCCCCTCCAATGAAGAGGTTAAATTAGATATTAACTCTGATCCTTTCCAATTTTAAAAGCCTGCGAGCTAATAAAATCATGCCAGATATCTGCATGTTTTAAAGAGTCAGGCATGTTTCTTTAATCATTACATTTAAAAGGAAACAAAAACGTCTGTTTCAGAACAAATTTCAAAGACACTTTACTGAACATGTTTTTATACACAGCTTTTAATAGTGGGAAAAAATGATATAAAATAAAATGTCTCATAAAATGATTACTCTTACTGTGGGAAAATAAATCAAGGATAAAGGACGAAAAGGTGAAAGGCAGCTATCAGTCCTTTTTAAGTTTAAAAGCAGATTACGTAACTACTTATAGGTCCGCTTCTGTGATGCCGACATTCTCAAAGGTTATAAGAACAAAATATGATATAATTCCTTTGGTCCTCAACTGCCTGGATTGTGACTTACTGTTATGTATGAGCAGGTGTCTCTGCAAAGAAAATGGGGTCCGGAACAAAGCTTTACATTCCTCACATTGGAAAGGCCTCTCTTCAGAGTGGGTCTGCAGATGAAAGAAACAGTGAGTCAGGACTCTCTAGAATCAACTAGTCATTACAATAATTGGAGCCTGGATTCATGATACGACCAGGAAAGACAGGAAGGTGGACAATATCCTGTTCCTTCTGGTGACATTCTTCCCCCGTAAAATTGGGAACACAAACACGCTGTGTTCATGGGAAAAAAATGATTGTATTTTTAACTTCTCACATTAATTAATTATAAACTTGATAAACAGTAAAGGAAACTGCTCCTATAATCTCAAATGCTAATCTCAATACACACTGAGATTTCTCAGAATCTACTTTGCAGAGTGAAATGATACGTAATTTCTCTAAAGACTAAACCGCCTTTATCAATGGACAGACTTTATGCTGGTACAACATTTTCAACACAGACAAAGGAAACTGTATAAGGGAGGCTGTTTCCACCCTTTTCCCTCAACTTCACTGACTAACTTCAAATGATTTTCAGTCCTAGGTGCTGCTTTTCCCCTAAATTAAACTAGAACATTTACTCATGTTATAATTAACACCAGGTATCATTAATTAAATATTTATTTTGGATCAAATGCTATGCTAAATACTTCACATGAATTATTTCACTTAATTCTAATAGCAACTTGATAAACAAAATACCATTACTGTCTCCATTTTATAGATGAGAAAACTAAGGCTCAAAAAGTTTCAGTAACTTGCCAAATGTCAAGCAGCACAGATGTAGGAAGCACTATTAATCCATGACAGACAAAAATATATGTGTAAACAAGAAACAACAGAAATTCACCTGCTAGATCTAAGAATCAAAAACAAAAAACAACAGTACAAACAGCTTACTTCACCTGTTTTCCATTACACATCAGTATTAACCCATTTGGCGCAAATCAGTAAATAAAATTCTATTCTACCACGGATGGCGAGATAACAATGCTCATAAATGCTAATATGTAAAAAACTGAACTATGTTCTCTTATTAAAATAAAGCAAATCATATAATTGATGGGTTATGTTATGATAACTGTGGTATAAAAATAAAGGGAATTATTTAAAGAAAAGTCACATTATTCACAGCATAGATTTATACATTTTGTCTAATGGACACTATAATATTAAAGATATAAATATTACCTATTAACATAATGTTAGTGAGAAAGGGATTATCATGACTGTTTTCAACTGTGAAAAATACAGAAAAAGGATGGGAGGAACAAATATTTAAAACTCAGGATAAACTACAGATATTCAAATGTGCTATTTAGCTAGAGATATTAAAATGATAGGTGGGAATAAACATATCAATAAAATAGAACAAAGAGTAGGTTTCTTTCATTACCAAAGATATATGAACATTTAGTATAGGAAAATATGGCATTTCAAGTTGGTATAAGAACAGTGGGCTGTTTAGTAAATGGTTGTGAGGCAACTGTATAGATATTCAGGAAAAATTAAGTTGTGTGTATTCCCCACCCATTACAAGAGATAAATCCCATTTCAATTCAGCTACATTTTTTTTATGTGAAGAATAAGACACTAAATATACAAGAAAATATGAGTAAATATTTAAAAGATTTTTGAGTAGGAAAAGGCTTTCTAGGCATGGCAGAAAACTGGGTACTCAGATGAGAGAACTAAATTTAAAACTGCAAGGCAAAAATATTCAGTGACACAGAAAATACTTGCAACATAAACCAAAAGTTTAAAATTACTAATATAAAGAGTTATAGAAAAGTAATAATATAAAAATTCCCCCAAAAGGGCAAAAGGACTCTCCTCCAAATAGCACTCTTAAAATTTCACTGATTATTTATTTTGCGCCAACTCTATGATATGCACTTCATGCCACTACATGCCAGTCCTATTTTATATTCTGGGGATACAGTTGTGGGGAAAAAAAAGGCAAATGTCTCTGCTACTGTGGAGCTCTTACTCTAGCAGAGAGAGAGGAACAATCAACAAATGATAAAATATCAGATACATGCTACAGAGAAAAATAAAGCAGGGAAACAGGACAGCAAATGTTTCAGAGAATGGGGTAGCAATTTTAAACAGGTGGTCAAGGAAATTCTGGCTGAGAAGGTGACAGTTGAGAGAAGATCTGATTGCACTGGGGCAACAGGGGCAGGTTTCCCTCTGGGTGATCTAGGCAGGAAACTCCACGGAGGCCAGTGTGATAGGAACTAAGTGGAAGCGGCACAGAAATGGGAGAAGGTGGAGAAATGGGAGAAGCAAATCATGTAGGGCTTGGTTGGCCACTGCAGGAATTTTGTCTTTTACTGAGAGAAATATAAAATCTCCCTAATGGGTTTTAAGCAGATAAGAGGCATGATTCACTTGGCATTTAACAGGATGCTAAGGTGGCTGTGTTGAGAACAGGATATAGGGAGACAAGGGAAAGCGGAGAAACTAGAAAAGTAATAGCAATAAACCAAGCAAGAGATGATTAAGACCTATACCAGGGTGGGAGCCACTAATGTGAAGAAAAGTCAGAGGCTTCTGGATCTATTATGAAAGTGAACAGGTTTTGCAGAGAGACCTGGATATGAAGCATAAGACACAGAAAGAAGGAAGCAAGCATGCCTCCAAAATTGTGACCTGAGTAATGGTAGGATGGATTAGCCATTAACTAATATATGAAAGAGCAAGCAAGAAACAAGTTTGGGTAAAAGGTAAGGGATTCGATTTTGGACAAGTTCAGATGACTATTAAGAGATGTCAACAGGCAGTTGAGTATTTCAAGTCTGGATTACTGGCTATACAACTTGGGGATGTCAGATTACGTACAGTATTAATACTTCAAGCCATGAACGCAATTAAAGAATGAAAAATTTAAAACAAAATACTATCTATGGTCTATCAGACTGGCAGAAGTGAAGAAAACAGATATCATTCTGTGTTGTCTGAAGGGTAAGAACATGCAATCTCACATCTGGTAATTGGGAATGTAAATTTTCTGAGGGGCAGTGTGGCTCTATTTACCAAGTGATAACTGTGCATAGACCTCTTGACTAACCAATTCCTTTTATAGAAATATATCGGACAAATTTGTGCACTTTTTTTTTTGGCAGCGCTGCACGGCATGTGGGATCTTAGTTCCCCGACCAAGGACTGAACCATGCCCTTGGCAGTGAGAGCATGGAGTCCTAACCACTGGACTGCCAGGGAATTTCCCTTGCACAATTCTCTTTTTTTTTTTTTTTTTTTTTTTTTTTTTTTTTTTTTGTTTGGGGGGGGGCCTCCCCTCTCACTGTTGTGGCCTCTCCCGTTGCAGAGCACAGGCTACGGACACACAGGCTCCGGA